CTTACTACAACACCTGATTGGTCCTTCTGGCAAAACAACTCATTTGAATAAACAAAAATTTGCAGTGTTCTGTGTTAACAATTATCTAGGTATTTCAAAGAAAGAACCCAAATATGGGATCATCTAATATACAACATATTTAACTTTTCATCGATAGCCATAATTTTTTTGTCTTTTTTTTTTTTTGAGGCAGGGTCTCCCTGTAGCCCAGCTGTCCTGGAACTCACTATGTAGACCAGGCTGGCCTTGAACTCAGATCCGCCTGCCTCTGCCTCCCAAGTGCTGGGACTACAGGTGTGCACCACCACACCTGGTGCTGGAAATCTTAATTTTGTATCACCCCTTGTCACTTCTTATGAAATAAGTAAAATAAACCTGATTGATAAGGATTTGAGTGTGAAGGAGGCATTATTTTATAGCAAACCATGGATTGTGAATTGTGGTGTGTAGCCAAGAAACTTCACAAAAACAGGAAGGCAGGAAATTGCTAGGGAAAGCCTGATCTGTTTAGATTTAAAAAGTTGAAATACAGTATCTTATAAATTTGTTACAAAAAGATAAATATTTTACATATCAACTTTTTTTCAATAGGCTGGAGTCAAAGGAAAATTAGGCAGACTCCTGGGCATATTTGAGGTGAGTTACAAAATAACCCTCACTTTTCTGACACAGAATTCATGATTCCTTCCTAACGGCAGCCCCAACCAGACATTCCTGTAAAACTATCAGTAGGCAAGTCAGCCCTGAGGATTAGGAAGGAGGGAGGTTCCCATCAAGTTTGTACAAATCACTATTATTGCACTGATTACTTGTGTCTGACAGTACAGTGGAGCTGACACAGAAAAACTGCCTCCTCTTAGTTCAGTGCGTACTGTTGCTGGAGTGTCTAGTACTTAGCAACTAGAGGCTTAGGTTACTTATGAATTCTGTCTGGCAGTATACCCATTACCTTCAGCATGCAACACTAGACAGTGTATATAATAACTATCCCTGAAGGGACATAGGAAGACATAAAACAGCACATGGAATAGATGTTAAAAGAATAAAAATCTCTTCTGTATAACCTCTTATTTAACTGGAGGCAGAATGGAATTTTCAGGAGGGGAATTTGAAAATGATTAGTACTCTCTGGATGAAGGTGAAAAGAGGCCACGTTCTGAGGCTCATGAATTTCAAATTATATTTTCAAATATAGATACATGGCATACCAGAAACATGGGACCTTCTTTCTGTTAATCAAAATTTAAGGCTAACTCAGTCTTTGATCGAACCATATAAATTTTATTTTTAACCCTTTAGAAATTAAAGAAAACCAAACTTTACACAGTTCTTGGAATTGATGGTACACCACAATACAGCCATTAAAAGTACAATTCTTGGGCTGGCCATGGTGGCACATGCCTTTAATCCCAGCACTTGGGAGGTAGAGGCAGGCAGATCTCTGTGAGTTCAAGGCCAGCCTGGTCTACATAGTGAGTTGCAGGCCAGCTGGAGCTACAGGGAGACCCTGTCTCAAAAAGACAAAAAAAACAAGTACAATTCTTGAGGTATTATGCAAAGCTCCATACTGTACCACTGGTTTTATCCATTTAAATAGCACCATCTCCTGGCTAAAACTGAGAAACACCTATTTTTCTGATTCAGATGTGTGACATTTGTCAATATGCCAGTGGGGTAGTGAAGAAAAGTCTTGTTATAAAGCTTATATATTTAGGAAAGGAAACGGTATTACACTTTATAAATGCTACTTAACAGAAAATGTCAATCAATATCCTTTTCCCTTTAGAAAATATAAGGGAATATTAGAGTTGCCTTGCCTTTCAGACAGTGCTCTTTCGTGTGTTTGTGAATATAGTGTAATAAATGCATTGACTTTCAGGCATAAAAATAGAAAACAGGTGGTTTGTTTTTTAAACAGTTCTTTTTAGATTTGGTTTTGTTTTCAAAATAAAAGTTGAGCAGAAAGAGTTTAGTATTTTAATAGTCTTACCATTGGTGGTCAATGAAGCTCCCATTCCTCATGAGATAGAGTTTCACTATCGCCCAGGCTGGACTTGAACCCAAGATCCTCCTGCCTGTTGGGATTACTGGCATACTGCACTACACAGGCTAGTTCCTGTCTTTCATTTCTAGTTTTTGAGACAGAATCTTATCTGTAGCCTCAGCTGACCTGGACCTTTCTATTAGTCTAGGCTGACTTGATACTGTGGTGATCTTCCTGCTTCAGCCTTCTGAGTGTTGATGTCACATGCAAGAGCCATCATGCCTGCCCTTTTCAATTTTTAACTTTAAAAAAAATTATGTGTATAAGTGTATTGCCTGCATGTAAGTGGCACTTGTGTCATGCAATGCCTGCAGTGGTCAGAAGAGGGCGTTTGATGCCCTGGAAGTAGAGTTACAGATGATTGTCAGCTACCATGTGGGTGCTGGGAACCAAACCCAGGTCCTCTGCAAGAGCAGCCAGTGCTCTTAACCATTGAGTCATCTCTCAACTTTTAGATTTTTAAAGAAATTTATGTGTGTATATACAAATGTGGAAGTCAGTGGGTAACTTTTTCTCCCCTTCCATCATGGGTTCAGGGGATCCAACTTAGGTCATCAGGCTGATTCATCTTGCCAAATCCAGACTGCATATACCTGAGTATACTTGCCCACATTGGGAAATGGGCTGTGCTACTCAGATGCCAGAACTGTTTTTCCTCTGCATATGCCCATGGCTAACTCCTGTAGATTAAAATGCCTTTCTTTTTATATTCAAGCAGAATCAAGACCGAAAGCACAGAACATATGTTTATGTTCTTACAGTCACTGAAATACTAGAAGACTGGGAAGATTCTGTTAATATAGGTGAGATGCTGTTCCTTTTGCTCAGTTACTCTCTACGTCTTTCTGATTTCCAATCTTACCTGATTTTTTGTGTTACTTTTTTAAGAGAAAGGAAGATGAGCATTTATTTCCACATTTGAATTACTTTAAAATTTTCTTGTCTTTAAGAAGAAAAAGTCATTACGTTGGTGGGAGTGAGGAAATATTGTGAACAGGGTGTGCTTTTTTAGAAAAGACCTGTACTGGGACTGGAAAGATGGCTTAGCTGTTAAGAGCACTGGCTGCTCTTGCAGAAGACCCTAGTTCAATTCCCAGCACCCACATGGTAGCTAACAACCATCCATAACTCCAGTTCCAAAGGAATCCGATGCCCTCTTCTGACCTCTGCGGGCTTTGCATGACACGGGTGCACTTACCTACATGCAGGCAATACACTCATAGACATAAAAATTTAAAAATGAAATTTTTAAAAGACCTGTACTAACCATTGCCAAATTCTCTAGGAAGGAAGAGAGAGTGGTTCAAAGTAGAAGACGCAATCAAAGTTCTCCAGTGTCATAAACCTGTCCATGCAGAGTACCTGGAAAAACTAAAGCTGGGGTGTTCTCCAACCAATGGGAATTCTACCGTCCCTTCCCTTCCAGAAAACAGCACCTTGTTTGTGACTGCAGCACAGCCCTCTGGGGTACCATCCAGTATCAGATAGAGAGTTGGGAGGCCCTCCCCTACTACCCCTTGAACCAGGGAGAGGCCTTCTCACTTTCCTTCTAACATACCTTACTGCTGCTGGCAAACTGATTTTGCCACGCAGGGATTTGCATGTATTTCAGATGCTTCCAAGTCTTTTAAAATAAACAACAAATAGTGTACAAATATTTTAAGACGCCAAAGCCACATGGAATTTTTTTTATGTCTTAATTGTAACCCTCCTCCAATATTTTGGTTTTTGGAGCCTTTTTTTTTTGTCCACTTGACATCAGTCTATGATTTATTTTGCCAGATCAAATTGCTTGTGGGTACATATTCACCCACCCTAAATTTTTTTTCTCATTCACAGCATCAACATATTCACCAAATCTTTTGTTGGGAATTAATAAAAAGATATTCTTGGTATTAAAGAAGTATATCCACCCCAAATTCATTTAAGAGGATCATAATCTCAGTTCGGAAACTGCAGAGTTGGGCTTTTCTGTAAGGTCTAGTGTCTTTTGACAAAGGATTTGCTATTTTCAGAAATTTGCCAATTCATTTGTCTGAATGTTGAGTTAGTATTTTGTCAACCTAGTACTATGTCCCCTCAAACACAATAGGAATTGAACATGAACTATATAGAGCTGCTCATATTTAGGGAAATATTTTAGCAAAATGCATGTAATTGAGTACATCTCATTCTGAAAATACTATCCATGGAATTTATTTAGCATGCTCAGTTGCCAGTTCCCTTTATCATACTTAACACAGAATACATTAGGAATACATATTCCTCATTACTCTTAAAATACATTTTTATTTTTTAATGACATCTCTTCAGTTCAAACTTTATTTTAGCACAGGATTGGAATCTAACCTTCAATGCCAGTGACTGTGTCACAGTTGAATAAAATGGCCGTTCTTGTTCGGCTGTTCCAGGCTTAAGATTGATAGGGCTCATCTGAGTATCTTTTCTACAGTGTCAGTAAGTGCTGTTTGTCACCTAACTAGGGGAACTAGAACGTGCATGAGCCGAGAATTATTTCATCTTGTACCTGTCTTTGTACTCAATTAAAACTGGCCATCCCATGTAAAGCACCTGGTCACCAAAAACCCTGTACTTCTTCTGTGAGGTCAGAACTGAAAGGGGAGAAGAAAACTAAAATGTGGGGTGGGGGAGAGTGAAAGGTTTTTTTTGTTTTTTTTTGTAGACATTGTTAGCCTCTTGTAAATATTCTAACTGACAAGCATAAAATAGAAAAAGTACAGTTAAAATATTTGCTCTGTAACTTGTTAACATTTAAAAATAAAATTGCTGCTAAAAACAGTCCTACACTTATGGAAAATTGGTGCCATTTTGAAAATGAGATCTTGTGCCATAAATGCAGCTGAACTAAAGAAAAGCATTAGTTTACAAATTAATGCTTTCAAAGTAGTAAGTAGAAAGACTTAACCAGTAATATTTCATTCTAAATTATGTAGTGTAATCAAAGATGCTCATCCAGAATTTTTATATTTTTCTTTGTACAGAGGACATGTATTCTGGATGTTTTTTAAAAAGGAAACATTTCAGTCCCACAGGTTGACAACAATAGACTTAGGATTTTTCTCTGAAATTTCTATATACTAAACACAAAAGACAAACTGGATTGTTTTGTATATAAGACTGCTTTCACCTGAAACGCCATCACAAGTAGTTGGGGGGATTTATCTTGTACATGATATTCTTAAGAGGTAATAATGCATGAACTTATTTTATAAAGTCTTAAACTGTGTATTACCATGTAAAATATGTACAGTATTCATGTCAACCATCTCTTTAAAAAAGTAGCTTATAAATATTGTTGTATAATTTCTTTGGTCAGAAACATTTGGACTAAGTTGTGTCACCTGGTCAGGATTTTCAGTGCCATTTAGCAAGCCAACTGTCTTTAGTCTGTGCAACTAGCAAAAACTATGTAATATAGTTTTCATTTTAAATTTCATATGAGGGTTTCTCTTCTCTATTCTGGAAAGTCTAACAAAATTAAAGGCAAAAGCCTAATAAGGTGATTTATTTCTCTTTAAAGAAAAAGCTTGCTTTTCAGGAAAAATAGTTCAATCTACTAAAGGTAACAAATAATGTCTACTATCTCAACCCTCCAAAGTCTGCAGTGTTGAGACTGTTGTTTGTGCTTGTCTGTGGAGTAGTTGAATAAAATTGGGCAGCTAAAATTTCAGTTCCATGAGCCTCCTAAGTAAAAAACAGAAAATAAGTTATTGAAAATTGACTTGCAGAAAAGTAGAAACTGCCCTTTCGTGGTGGTGATTTTTGGTTTTTAGTTTTTTTTTTTTAATGGCATTTTTCCGACCAAGCACATGCCATCTAATTTTCTGTCAGTCACATTGTATGAAGCAGAAAAGGTGAAAAAATGATTGTTGTATACACTGAATTGCTTTGCATGATCTCATTTGAGATGGTCTCATTCTAACCGGTGTAAGAATCTTGACTTTTTCTTTTTTACATTTGGAAACATCAAATAAAAATGGAAACGTGATTTGTGTGGATTTATTTTTAGCATAACAAGTACAATCTATCTTCAAAGAATCAGCTTTCTGAAACTTAGGGTGTAAGGTTCATGCTTTTAACCTTGAAATACAAAATAACTACCCAGGAGCTAGACAGATGGCACAGTGGCTAAGAGTGCTTACTAGTCTTCCAGAGGACCCAAGCTTTGGTTTCCATCACCCAGGCCAGGTGGCTCACAACCACCTACATGTAGTAATTCCAACTCCAGAGGATCTGATGCCCTATTCTGGCCTCCAGGGCATCCACACACACATAATCCATAAAGTAATTACCCAGAGCAAAGCTGTAGTTCCCTATGCAGAATATATTGCTTCCTCAACCAGACACAGTGTTCAACCTTTCAGTTCCATGTGAGAACCACCTGGCACTCTATGGTGACATCACTGTTTTCTATGAGAAAAGAGTCATCTATGTTACTCTTACTAGCCCAGGACTCTCATGCACTTCATTTGATTCTTACTAGTGGGTTTTGTAGTTTTGTAATTATCCAAATTGGCAAAATTACAATAAAATAT